GGGCACCCAAAACTGTGCATGAGGTCGAAGAGGACGAACACGGTTTGTTCCTTGGTAGCATTAAGTGTGAGGATGAACCGTGGAATGTTGCCTTAAGCATAAATAACAAGAACATGTCATTTAAAATTGATATGCGTGCTGATGTGACAGTCCTACACCTTAAAGTGTTTAAGGAACTCTACAGGCACAACCACCCCCCCAGTCTCCACAAACCAACCAAGGCTCTGCTGGGTCCCGGGTCTTTGGTGTCAGTGAGCTTGCTCTCCATTCCTCATCCCATTTTTGAAGCATCCTCCCATACTTAATAAAGTATGCTGAAAAGCATGTTAATTCGATTTAATTCAATTTTATTTATATAGCGCCAAATCACAACATAAGTCGCCTCAAGGCGCTTCATAGATACAGAGAAAAACCCAACAATCATATGAACCCCTATGAGCAAGCACTTTGGCGACAGTGGTAAGGAAAAACTCCCTTTAATGCCATCGGGTCTGCTGTGGTCATTTACACTGAAGCTGTCACGTTCTTGGATGATGGTGGTTGGGGGTCATCGTTGCAATTTATACAGATTTTATACAGATTTCCTTAGAAAACTTTCCATTACCTGTAAAGTTTCAAGGAGAGGTGAACCTTTTGTTATCACTGCTCCTGAAAGCCTAAGCAACAAACAGCACATCTGCATGCTACATGTACCCAGTGAAAATAATCGAATCTCTCATAATAGTTGTCTTTTTTGTTTCTTTTATTGTACTAAAACAAATAAAGCACAAGTAACAGAAGTAATCACTTTTCAATCTCTTACAAACACACCTGTGAGGCAAACCGTTGTACTCACTCTCACACTTTCTCCACATGTCAGCACCTAAACATACTTGGCTCCCAATGAAACGTACTAACTGGTTGATCCACCCTTGGCAGTTACAACTGCAATCAAGCATTTACAATAACTGGCGATGACTCTTTCCCGTCATCTTGAGAGAATTTTGGCCCACTACATTTTCCAGAGTTATGTAATCATAGAAACGAGGGAAGCTTTTCAAAAATGAATGGCATGTTTGGGTACATGATGATCTGATTCAGGTCCAAACTTTGACTAGGACACACCAAAACTTTCATTTTATTGTTGTTTTAATTGTTTTTAACTGTTCAGAGGTAGACTTGCTGATGTGTTTCGGATCATTGTCGTGCTGCATCGCTCAAGTGCACTTCAGCTTCAGGGCACAAACTGATGTCAAGAAATTTTGAATGGCCAGTGATCAAATTACATTTTCACATGGGACCGTTTTTATCCATAGTGTT